AGATATACAGTGGAAGGACTCTTTTAGATTGGGGTTTCTGAGACAAGTGCTCTCTGAGGAAGTGACATTTGAGCAGATGCCCAAATGAAGAGTGGGTTCAAGTCATAAAGATCTGATGGGGTAGCCCTGGCTGGTGTGGCTCAGTTGGTTAGAGCATCATTCCATGCACAGTAAGGTTGCAGATTTGATTCCCCATCAGGGCACATACCTAGGTTACAGCTTTGAGCCTTGGTGGAGGCACATGTGGGAGGCAACTGATTGATGTTTCTCTCTCTCTCTCTCTCTCTCTCTCTCTCTCTCTCTCTCTCCCCCCCACTCCACCTCCTCTCCCTCTCTCCCTCCCCTCCTCTCTCTCTAAAAGCAATGAAGAAATGTCCTTGGGTGAGGTGGGCAGCGAAAGATCTGCTGGGGTAGTGTTTGAGGTCAAGAAAATAGCTAATGCAAAGCCCCTCAGACAGAAGTGTGGTTGATGTGGCTAAGAAACAAGGATTCCCATGTGGCTGAAGAAGAATAGACAGGGGGAAGACTGGTGAAAAATGAAGCGAGAGGTAGTCAGCAATCATATGGGCATGATCTTACAGGCCTTCTAAGAGGAGTGTGAGCAAGAGAATGCAATTGTTACTTTCACATTGTTAAAGGACTACTCTGTCTACTCTATGGAGAATACACTGTAGGAGAGCAGGAGTGGAAGTTGGAAGACTGATGTGGTGGACACACCTCCTGTTGAGCTCCAATGAGTCATGCCCTTGTAGAGAACTCTCCCATGAAGTCAGGCGGATCCTGTGACGTGCTTCTAATGAACAGAATATCACAAAGGCGATGGAATGTCACTCTCATGATCATGTTACATTACCTAAGACTTTACCTTAGCAGACTGAAACATTAGAACTTCTCCTAATTATGTGTTTGTTTGTTTGTTTGTTTGTTTAGAGGCTAAAATGTTTACTTATTAAATTTTTCCATTACAGCTTACTTTCAATATTATTTTGCATTTGCTTTAAGTGTACAATATAGTGGTGATACAATCATATACTTTATAAAGTGTTCCCTCCACCAGTATTTACAGTACCTACCTGGCACCATACACGGTTATCTCAGTACTGTTGACCATACTCTCTATGCTGTATTCCACATCCTCGTGACTGTTTCGTAACTGCCAATTTGTACTTCTTAATCCCTTCACCTCTTTCAGCTGTCCCCCAACCTCCACCACCACCCCTGCCCCACTGGCAACCACCAGTCTGCTCTCTGTGTCCATGAGTCTGTTTCAATTTTGTTTGTTTATTTTGTTCTTTAGATCCCACATATAAATGAAATCATATGGTGTTTGTGTGTCTCCTGATTATGTTGAAGAAGCAAATCACCTATGGCTTAGGAGTGGGTCACGTGTCAGGGAACTATGTGAGACCTCTAAGACCTAGGAGCAGTGCCCAGCCAAGAGCCAGTAAGAAGCAGGTCCTTTAGTTCTATAACCACAAGGCATTGAATTTTGCCAATGATTTGAATGAACTTGTAGGTATATCCTTCCTTAGTCTAACCTCCAAATGAGAATTCAGACTGCTGACATCTAGATCAGAAGATCAGACCCTGAGCACTGCACCCAGTTAGGCCACTTCCAGACTCCTGGTCCTGGAAAACTGTGGGGGAATAAATGTGTGTGGTTTTAAGGCACTAAATTGATAGTGATTTGTTACACAGCAACAGAAAACCAACATTAGCAACTACGATGTTTTTGGAGTAGTCCAGGCAAGACGTGATGGTGACTTGGATCTGGGCAGTAACCATGGAGATGGGGTAACATAGTCTGACTTGGGATGTGTTTTGAACATAGAGTCTATAGATTTTGCCAATAGATTAGATATTGCATGTGGGAGATAGAGAGGAGTCCAAGATGACTCCAAGAATGGCTCCATAAATACAAATACACAGCTTACAAAAATCTATTGATTCATATTTTGCCCATCTCATAAATCAAATCTGGCCAATCCCTGTTGACATATTATACATAGCATTTCTAAAAATGTGCTCTTCCAAAAATGTACTTGACCCTTTCAGAGAGAAAGGAAGGGAGAAAGAGAGGGAGAGAAACGTCAATATGTGAGAGATACATTGATTGGCTGCTTCTCCCACACCCCTATCCAGGGACCTGGCTTGAAACCCAGGCATGTGCCCTGGCTGTGAATCAAACCAGCTAACCTTTCAGTTCACAGGCTGGCACTCCATCCACTGAGCCACACCAGCCAGGGCTACTTGTCTCTTTTCTAAGCCAGGAGAATACTACCTATTCTTCAAAGTTCAGCTAAAATAGTTCCCTTCTGTGAAACCCCCCTCATGCAGGATAGCTGCTTCAATTCTTTGCTCCTTAAGTCAGTTTGGGTTGCTCTAACAAAATTACATACTGGGTGGCTTATCAACAATAAAAACTATTTCTTAAGCCAAGCAGTGAGAGACAAATACCATATGATCTCACCTTTAACAGGAACCTAATCAACAAAACAAAGGAACAAGCAAAATATAACCAAAGACACTGAAATAGAGAACAGGCTGACAGTGTTCAGAGAGGAGAGGGGAGGGAATTTCAGGGGAATTTCAGGGGAAAAGGGGAAGGGTTTACAGGAACAAGTATAAAGGACACATGGACAAAAACTAGGGGAAATGGGAGGGAGGTAGGGAGGGCTTGGGTGGGTGGGCCGGGATGGGAGTAAAAGATAGAAAATTGCACTTGAACAATAATTAAAATAAAATAAAAAAAAACAATAAAAACTTATTTCTTGCATTTCTAGAGTCTGGGAACTCCAAGGTCAAGGAAGATGCAGACTTGATATCTGGCTCACAGATAACTGTCTCCTTGTTGTGTCTTCATATGAGGGAAGGAGTAAGGGAGCTCCGTGGGGTCTCTTTTATAAGGGTACTAATCCCACTTATGAGGACTCCACACTCATGATCTAATCACCTGCCAAATGTCCTGCTTCCAAACACCATCACATTGGGGGTTACATTCCACATGTTAAATTGGGGGGGGAGGGGGGACACAGACATTCATTGTATAGCATTCCCCTGGAACACTGCCTAAAAATTTCCCACGGCATTTGTCTCATGAACTGTAATTTATATTTATACCTCTGTCTCCTACACAAAGCAGATATCTCATATTTTTCATCTTTATATTCCAAAAGCCTGAGTCTGAGAAGTCTAGGAAATATTCAAAAGTTTGATGAATAAATAATACAGTTATTCTTAAACATTTAAAATAATCAGATTAACTGTATTTTATCTGATTCTGTCCTTTAATATCAGCATAGCTCATCTCACATATGATCAACTAAAGCGGAAAAGACACACACTCATATACTACCTGTGTAATATACAGACTGCAATGCGATCATTTGACAGTGTTAACTCCATAAATAATATTACTTATATTATGTATACTGTGTGTATGTGTGTATGTGTTTGTGAGTGTGTGAGAGTGATGGAGAAAGAAAGAAAGGGGGGAGAGAGAGAGAGAAAGAAAGAAAGAGAAGGAAGGAAAGAAAGGAAGGAAGGAAGGAAGGAAGGAAGGAAGGAAGGAAGGGAGAGAGAGAGAGAAAGAGAAGAGAGAGACAAGGGATTCTGTAAGACGAAATTTTTTAGAAGACTTTCGAGACTGACATTTCAACTACCCAAGAACTCGAGAAGGGGATAAGATAGTGCTGGTTCCCTTTAAAAGAGGAAAGGAATGTTCCAATATAAAAAGTAAGGTATTCGCGGGCTACGGTTTGTTCAAACACACTGGCGTGACTTTCCAGGCTTCAGTCCAATGGTGTGATGCATTCAGAAGCCCTGCGCCTACTCATAAAAATGTCTCAGATGAAAGACTTTGAAGACTGTTTAGGAGCTTTTACTGTCTTAAGCGCAGCAATGTAGTTTTGGGACCAGAGGTTCAATATTGAACCTGATAATAGATCGATGCACAGTTGCTCTAACTCTAGAAAGCACACACATGCACACACACTCCTCCTAAGAGGGTAAATAACGTCAAAGGATTGGAGGAGTCTCTCTGAGTCGGTTTACCATTTGCCTTAAAGTATTCATTTTCCTACTCTTACCGTTCTGGGATACTCGAACTCTCCGGTACCTCACAGATATGTCACTGCTGTCACTTGGGAAACTTTCAGGCAGTAAGACTCATGACTTGACGCATGATGGAAATTCTCTGTCTCTTCAGTTAAAAAAAAGATGCTCAAAGCCGCCCATTACTTTGGTTAGAGTTATTCACGGATTGGAACCAAAGCTGAAACGCTAAGCCCAGAAGGAACCCAGACCTAAAAACAGCTGAAAGGGCTTTCCACGGACAAAGTCAAGAAGCAGAACAAACCTAGGCGGCTCAAAAGATTACTTAATCTAAACTTAGTTCTTAAGACAAGGATGGAATACTACTAATTGATGGCGACCACTACCCTTTACCAGGGTGGGTTAAAGCCATTCAAGAGACATAATCGTCAGTCAAAATTTGACCTAGGTGACCTTATAAATATTCAACTAACTTTCATTGCTGAAAATGGATAAGAATTAAAGCCTATCTTGGGGAAACACATTCAGTATGTCCACTACACCCCTCATAGCTCTATCAGTGGCTCTGCTAAGGGAGTTTGCCGTCCAGAGCCTGAAAGAATGCCATTTAAAATACACGAGCTTGTAAAATAGCAGGGGAAAGAAAAACTCAGTAGGTAAAGAAATACTTGTTCTGTGGTTACAAAAACATGTTTCAGAGCCAGAATACATGCCCAAGACTTTTCTTTTGGAGGAATATTCACACAATTTCCAGATTTAAAGAAATAAATAAATACATCCAGCAATGTAAATTAGTAGTGATCCAACATAGTTTATAAGCGAATGAACTGTGCTAAATTCTGTGCAGAAGTTTCCATGAATATGTTTATACACAGAAAGGAGATTATTTTGAAAATTGTTTTTTGTTAATATTCTAGAAAAGAGCTTTCCGCTGGCTGAATCTGCAGAAGGCCCAGAGAAACACCACCTTGCAAGGGGAAGGAAAAAGAGAAAAAACAAGTCATCAGCCTCAGATCTCAGGTGGCTGAAGGAAAAAATGTGTTTGGTGTCTGCCACGTCTTTCCATCCTTCAGTGATGCTTTTGTCCATGTTATTGATTGTTCTGGCAAAGAAACCATCTGCCGTGTGACTGGTGGGATGAAGGTCAGGGCTGACAGAAATGAGTCCTTTCCCCATGCTACCATGGTGGCTGCCCAGGGCGTGGCGCAGGGGTGCAAAGAACTGGGCATCACTGCCCTTCACATCAAACTCTCAGCCACAGGAGAAGGACCAAGACCCCTGGAACAAGGGCCTGGTCAGCTCTCAGAGCCCTTGTCCACTTGGGAATGAAGGTCCCACCGATTGAGGGTGTCACCCACTCCCCTTCTGACAGCACCTGCAGGAAGGGAGTCGCCATGGTCGCCATCTGTGGACAGGACTCCTCAAATTATTGTTTTCTGTTAGTAAATTGCCTTTGTGTGAATATATATAGTTTTCTATTAATATATGTATATATTCATTCTACAAAGGAAACCAGAACTCTGTAGCACTTATGCCTCGTTGGTATATAATAACTATTAAATTTCAAATTATTTTTTAATGATCTAGCAAAATTTATCTTTGTTTCAGACATGATAATTTTGAAACACAAGATTTTCAACTTTCTTGCCCTCAAATGTTTATGAGATGGTTTCTTGTAGCTTTTGTGAGAGCTCACTTAAGTGGCTTTTGTTTCTCTGAAGGAAATGACTACTTAACTTTAGTAACTCCAGGGTTAAATGGCACATGCTTTGATAGGAATTTGGTAGTATATTCTTTCAGCTGCTTAACCTAGATTCAACTTTATTCAAGAAAATTCTTTAGAGATACATGGTTTTCAGTCTTCAGAGTAAAATAAAGCCTTTACTTTTTAAGTTTCTTCATTAAGTCTTTTTTGTTTTGTACTCATCTTGCTATTTCACACTTGGTTGTAATGTAACCAAAGTATCATGAGTAAATTTTGCATGTGTGTATTTTCAAATTTTAAGTTTGAGAGGCAGAATGAGATACTGGAAAGAGTAATGACATAGGTTTGAATCTTGTAGTAACTATGTGACCATTTTCTTGTCTATGAAATGGAAAAAAATTCTTACTTCTAAAGATATGGTGACAGTAATGAGAATCTAAAGACTTCTCTCTAAAGATGGAGGATTGAACACATTCCTCCTAAAACCTAACTGTAACATCAATTGAAGTAATTTTATAAAGCACAAATCTACAATAGTGGAGCAAGGAAGGTAACTATAGAAGCCGAATTTTGGAGGCATGAATACCTAGAGACAAGAGGTGATCAAATTGGCAAACCCAAGATAGCTGAATCTCAAGCCAACAGTGGGAAAAGCTAACTTAAGATTCATCAGAGGGCCCTGGCTGGCGTAACTCAGTGTATTGAGCACGGGCTGCGAACCAAAGCATCACGGGTTTGATTCCCAGTCAGGGCACATGCCTGGGTTGCAGGCCACGGCCCCCAGCAACTGCACATTGATGTTTCTCTCTCTCTCTCTTTTTCCCTCCCTTCCCTCTCTAAAAATAAATAAATAAAATCTTTAAAAAAAAGATTCATCAGAGGGCTCACGAATTGATGAAACCCACCGAAAGTGATGAGAATGTTGATACAAGGAGGACCGGTTGAAGGGTGTTTCAAAGGCAGTTGTCCCTCTATATCCCCTCTCCCACTCCCTGTGCTTGGACAACTGCCCCTTTCCCTTCATGGCAGAAGTCTGGGAGTTTCTTCTTCAGAAAGGGTAAAACATAGCATTTCTTCATTGGGCTGATACCAGGGACAGTTGAGCAGACAAGGTCCATGACAGAAAATAATAATAATTAAGCAAAAGAACTTAAAGTATTCCCTACCCATCAGTTTAACCCTCTGCCCAGGAATATTGACAATCAGACCTATACCCTCCTCTGGTTAGGAGATTTAAGGGGGTTTTTTTTTGGGGGGGGGGTTTTTTTTTAAGAAATCTGACCAACTTAGTAAGTAGAAAAGACCTAGGAACTCAGGAGTTCTCTAACACAGAGCCAGGCAGGCCATTACACACATTTGCAGCTTCTACTCAACTTTAGAATTTCCCTTTATTAAACATAAATGGGAAAGTCAATGACTGTCAACATCCGAGGAAAATCTCTAATATAAAGAATACAGAAAACAACACCATGTGAAAGAAAGCCACTTGGAGGAAACAGAGCTACTCAGGAATAGACCAGACTTCAAATTAGTATCTTTTTTTTTAAGATTTCATTTATTTATTTTTAGAGAGAGGGTAAGGGAGGAAGGAAGGGAGAGAAACGTCAACATGTGGTTGCTTTTCGCAACCCCCACACTGAGGACCTGGCCCACAACCCAGGCATGTGTCCCAACCTGGAACCGAACCATTGACCCTTTGGTACGAAGGCTGGGGCTCAAGCCACAGAGCCACACCAGCCAGGGGCTCAAATTAGTATCTTTAGATAAGAAAGTGTATTACATCTATAAAACCCAAATGAGATGTTATTTAAGAGAACCAAAAAAGTGAATGTACCTTTTGGATAAATAGTAACATTATCACAAAAATGAAAAAACTCAATATAAAAGATAAAATTAAGGAAAATTTCCAGAGCTAAAATACAGAGGTGGAAAATAAAATATAACAAAAAGACACTCTGACTGGTGTGGCTCAGTGGGTTGGGCATCATCCCACAAACCAAAATGTTGCTGGTTCAATTCCCAGGCAGGTCACATGCCCGGTTGCAGGCTGCATCCCTGGTTGGGGGCATGCGAGGGGCAACTGATCCATGACTCTCTCTCACACTGATGTTTCTCTCTCTCTTTCTCCCTCCCTTCCCCCCTCTCTAAAAATAAATAAATAAAATATTTATAAAAATAACAATCATTAAAAATATATAATAAAAAGAGAGGATAAGTCAGAAGCACCCAACAACTAATTAACAGGAGTTCCAGAAGAATGTGCAAAATAGAAGCAAGGAAATTGTCTAGCAAATAATTCAAGAATATGTCCCAGAAGTAAAGGACGCTTATTTCTGATTGAAAGATCCCACCAAGAGTCAGAAAAATTAAAAACAACCAATGAACCAAACAAATAAACAAAAAAAATTCATGCTGTAATAGTGAGAACAAAGAGAAGATCTAAAAATCTTTCAAAATATAAAAATAAGTGATATATAAAATGTTGATTTTTAGAATGACAGTGGATAACTCAACAGGACCCTAGAACCTAGAAGATAATGGCTCAATATCTTCAAAATGCTGAAAGAAAATTAATTCCAATCCAGAATTTTATACCCAGGCAAACTATTAATCAACTATGAAGATAGAATATGTGCATTTCTGAATATATGAAGCCTCACATAATTTCCCTCCCATATAACTTTGCTAAGGAAGCTACTGAAGACTACGCTCCGATAGAATAAGGGAGTAAACCAAGAAAGAGGAATACATGAGACTCAAGAAACCAGAGATCCAACACAGGACAAATGTAAAGGTAATCTCAGAGAGGATGCTGAAGGGAGACCCTGGAACACTAGTTCTCTCAAGTCTATAGCACAACCAGTCCCTGTCGGAGAATACACAAAGAGGGCACTGCTAGCATTCTTTAAAAAAAAAAATTGAATTTGGAAAATGATCTGATACACTTGGATATAGTCACAGAAATTATCCTTCTCGAAGATAAATTTATATAAGCTACACACAAACAAATAAGCAAATTAAAAAAGTGAGACAATTATTAAGTCAAGAAAAAGCAAGAAGTCAGGCAGGCAAGAAAATCTTGTTCACATACTACATGACTCTTCTGTGAATAACATTATATATTTAACTTCATACCAATGTAGCCAAGATCTATGCCTTAATCAGGGTGTCAGGGAGGAAATATTTGTGTGTGTAGGAAATATTTGTGTCTGTAAGGGAGGAAGAGTGAGAGAGTTAACTCCCTGTCTGTCACATTAGGAAGCTAAAGGACTATCTCTAAAAGTGAAAAATCAAGAAATAGCAGGGGATGCCGATTACCTGGACATATAGGAAAAACCATCAGAAGAATTAAAAGGGTAAATATGATTGCCTTTGGGGAGTGGGAATTGGAGAAGGGAAAGAATAAATGCAGAAGATGCTATATTACATAGGAGACTTCACTTAACTTTTAAAACAATGTACATAGGAAACTTTGAAAAATTAAAACTTATAAAAAGAAGATTAAATGGCATACCATGCCTCAAAATCATCTATTAGAGTAGGAAAATTAGATGTTTGCTCTAGTCTTCCCGCACAAGAGGATGGCAGTGACCTAGATGGAATCCAGAAGCACATTGTCCCAAAGCACATGTTGGTATCACATCTTTTGAATTATGTGGGCTTTATTGGGTAGTAGGTCAGGCACAGCAAGGGAACAATGATAGATTTGTCCTTATTGGCCCAGCAAGCCTGTTGAAACACAAATCAGTGAAGTAATTTGAATAAAGGCTTTATGGACCATTCATGTGTTATAAAGGCATTCATCTGGCCCAAAGAGAAGTTTGAGATAAATCAGAATTGTAACTTATCTTAATAACTTTCAGACAACTTAATGAATTTGCGCCATGGCATGGATCAGGTTCTTAACTCTCAGAGCTCCTCTGGAGTGGTTTTCAACCGTGATTGCACACTAGAGTCACTTGCAGAGCTTTAAAATATCCTGATGCCCACCGCTTCACAGACCCATTAAGTCAGAATCTTCTTCAGAACACCTGAAATGATCACACTGTGTAACAAAGGCAGGGAACCATAGCCCTAAGGTGTGAGTTCACGAGACCAGGCCGCCATTTCCCAACTGTTGTCAGAGTCTATGGAGAGGTAGAGAGACAGCCTCCCAATAAGGAGAAAAGTTGGTATCCCTCCTTATACTAGACCCAGCCTGTACTTCTAGTCAAACCACACTGTGAATTGGCACACTTATATACCTATGTCTTCTGGGTAATTATAGGGTTTGAACACTCAATGGGGTCTCAGCTTCCCCTCCCACATCTTCATTTGCTAGAAGAGGGTCCTGATTCATCAGAATCTGAAATACTAACAGGGCATGTGCCTTGAAGGCAGAAAGTAGGCTTCCAATTTTCCCTTTTACTCCTGGCATCCAGATGAAGGGGACCATTTTTCTGGTCTTCAGTGGGTGGGCTCAGGCACACTGGCCACCTCTGTATAAGCATCTCTGCACGAAGGACTGGGGCGATCTCACAGGGCCCAGTGAATGAGGAGTAGGACCTTGTCTGTGTCTTCCTGTGCTGCCACAACAAAAAAACCATAGACTGGGTGGCTTACACAACAGAAATTTATTTTCTCAATTCTGGGAACCGGAAATCTGAGATCAGGGTGCCAGTGTGGTTTGATTCTGGTGAGAGCTCATTTCCTGGCTTACAGAATGTCACCTATCTGCTGTGTCCTCACCTGAC